AGATAAACTTAAACAATTACATATTTTTTTTTCAATGGGATGACCTTTTATTATGTGGTAGTCCAGTCTTATTACTGGACTCTGTACTGTAAGTGCAGAGTAGCACAAAACAAGTATTGCATGCTAACTCTGTTTATTTATCTTAGGCAAAACTGACAAGTCTGCAAAAGCCACCATGATATGTTGCATTAACATGCTCTAAAGCTATGAAGTTTGATGTGGCTATAAAACAGCCATAATAAGATGATAGACTGTAACGGCTTGGGGGAAAAAAAACCTAGTCATTTATATGATATAACAGGAATGGATATAAAGAGTCTACAGAGTGTCACTGAGGGCTCAGAGATGGCTTGGCTAGTAGTCATCAACCTTTTCTGTAGCTTAGATTTCCTGTTACAATGGGTAAATGTTTTGAATACCCGTCCTGCCTTGTATCAAAGGAAGGAAGAGTGCCATGTAGTTTAAGAAACTCTGTGTTATCAACATAAAATATATTCTGTCTTAGAAAATCCAGCTTCGGCTGATAGAAGCAGCCACTTCGTATAACTCCTTTATTTTATCTCGTTCCATATAAACTCAGTCTATGTTGTGTCCCCTCACTTCTCCATCAGAAGGCGTGCTCAATGCCTGAGATGATTAATGGTCCCTCTTACTTCCAGCCTCGAGTTGCTTATGGCTGGTTGATTCCCATTCTGTTATAGTCACTGTCCTTTGGCTTAAGTAACTTTTGTATCTCAAGATAGATGTATTTGTAGATAGCAGCAATATCACTTCTTGGTCTTCATCTTACTGGACTGAGTGACCCAACCTCCCTTTTATATCCACTCACAGATTTTGGTCTTCATTGACTGTTTTACCCAAGTCACCTTTTCTGATCTCATTTCTGGTTTTGTTTTCATTGCCGTTATCTAGTCAAGCAGATATTACTGAGAGAGAATTCGGAGTCTTATTTCCACTGCCATTGCTCACCGTACTACATCTGCACCGCTTCCCTGGTCAGCCAGAGGCTCTGCTCCTAGAGGCCAGGGCCAAGAGCTGTGGGACCTCAGCCAGAAGAAGAAGTAGGACAGGCCAGGGAAGGCCTGGGAACATTTTGGTACTTGTTAAAGTTTGTGAAAGGGGAACAGCTATGTTGGAGGGACAGAGAGGAGAACTGATGCAATTAAGCTGAGCGTTTCATGAGTTTACTGTTCTCTCTGGCCTCTGTTCCCCAAATGAGTTTTGACACAGCTGACGAACAGCTGGTGAGCTAATGACCAAAGGTTTATGCAGTGTCTCAAAGGAGCATCACAGTGCCCGCTAACATCCCTGTCAATGCTTTTAAAGGAGCAACAGTATTAAGGGACTCTGTTGTAACAGTAACGTCTTCTTTAGCGTGTGTGTTCTGTAGCTGGTAATCCCTTCAACAGCAGTTCTTTGCCCAAGTAGTGTGGGCACGTCCTCAAAGCAGGGGTTACTTTGCATTCTGAAAGCAGACCGGTGCTCATTTATTTAGAAACTTGGGCACTTTTCTGATACCATCTAGTAGAAGAAAGGTGTCAACTGGTGTCATCCTGAATGTCTAGAGGCTGAAGGAGACTCTTCATAGGGAGCATATGGAAATAAATCAGACAACTAAGTAATGGTCAAAAACTACTGAGCCTGACTTGCCCTTGCCTTGCTTCATTTCCTGCCAGGTTGTTGGAATTAAGACTGCAACAGCATATCAGCATAGCAGAAACTCAGCTGTTACAACAAGAAGGGCACCATTAAACTCCATGCTGCTTCACACCAGTTCAGGATTTGTTAATTTGTCCTTTACCTACTCCCCATCAAATTAATTATCTTTGTTCTGTGGTTATTCCAGGGCGATGTAGCAGATTAAAAAGGAAACTTCTTTGGCTTCTTCCACATTTTCAGCTTAACCCTGATTACTAGTATGACTGGTATGAAGAAACACCCCTGAACTGCAGTTGTGTGAACACGCAGAATGCGTGTCCCAGTTCTCGCCCAAGTAGGTTGTGAGCAGCACCCACTGATGTTGCTGGCTAGTACTCATAGCCTGCAATGTGGGGTAAGTCATCAGACCCTTACATTGCTAAGCTGCCTTTAGGCAAGTCAGCTGGAGTGAATCCCTGTTCATCTGCTTAGGAGTACGTGTGTGGTTTTTGTGGGCTTTTCCATGGCGTTACTAACTCCGTTACCCTACAGAAAGTAGGAAACCGTTGCCTGTTCTGGGAAACACGAGCTTTGTTTAGTTCATTTCAGTGAATCCACAGGAGAGTTTTCAAAGCCGACTTCCACTGTTCTTAGTTGTTTCCTCTTGCTCTATTTCACTGTCTTAAACCTCCAAGTTGTTGGTCAATTAATGTGACAGGAACCCCGTAGGTTATGTTTGTTCATGGTAGACATGTCTTCTTTCATTAGTCCAGCCTTAACAGCTGCAGAGTTTTAATGTCTTAGCCACTGTGCAACAGCCTGTTTGCAATGAAATGCTAAAGCCATAAAAGCGTGTGCGTTGGGGGCAGGGGGGGAGGTTCACGTAAGAGCTGAGAGGGAAAATGTTAATGTGCAAATGTACAAAACCTCAGATTTTTCTTCTGTTCTGCTGATTTTTATTTTGCTCCTTATTCATTCCCCAGTCTCGGTTATTTCCCTATCTCTCCTGTAATTGTAGGGAGCGGAGTCCTGACCCTTTTGTTATTCAGGTTGGATGCTCTGGCTAAAGGTTTTGCTGTCACTCTAAGGAATTTGAAGACTGCACGCACATTTAAGTGTTTTGGAAACAAAGTCGCTAGTCTGGAATTTAAAAATCTGGCTCTCAGCAGTGACACATAAAAATTATCTTTCATTAGCTAAGTTCATCACTGTTCATTAAGATTTCCCTGTAATGTAATTTTTCTTTAATTGTTTTTATTTTTTGCTGTATTTACCAAGCTTTCTTTGAATCTTGTCAGACAGTTTAACTTCCTAAATCAATAGATTTGCCTATTAAAAATGTTTACGGTACTGCTTTGTCATCATTAAATATTCCTACAAGTTAATTAGTAAGAGACTGCATCTTACTCATCTTTCAGGAAGCTGCTTCAAAGAATTCCCCAACTAAGCCAGTGCCTGACAGTTCTAATCCCAAGTGCCTAATATTTTTCAGTGATATTGAATTTTAGCAATCTGATAAGGCCATTAAATATTGAAGGCCAAAATTAAGGATACATTTATATAATTGTGCATAATTGTACTATCTGTCTTTGCAGAACTTTTTACAAGAGATGCATAAACAGGCATATTTCAAAATTATGATGGAAAACAAAAAGTGTTTTTGAAAATGTACAGATGTGAAATTTAGATATATCATTGCACATCAAATTTGGGTAAGCAAAAACTACGGTGAACTGCCTACTGCTACCCAGTTAATTGCCCAGACATAAAGTTTATTCATCATAAAAGTAAGCATTCTTTAAATTTATTAGCAATATTATTTAACAGTTTCTTTTCTTTTGCATCAACACATTTTCAGCATAGCAGAAGCACGCAAACCCAAGAAAATAAATGAATTAGAATGCAACAGGGCACCTAATCTTTCTCCAATTGAAGTTAATGGGAGTTCTGCTTTGAATTTGAACTGAAGTTGAATTTATTGGAAATAGGATTAGGCCAAAATGTATATAGTCTTCTTGCAAATTTGTTTTTAGGAAATTTAATTATAAACAGGATAAAATGCTAGGAAATGTTGTGTGACAGTGCAAGACTTCTATTCATGCATAGAATGATGGTTATTAAAGCTGGAGAACATATGCATTGCTCTGTACTTGCTCCTTACAGTATATAATTGAGAGCTCTGTTCAATCCATCTTTAAATCATTTAAACAACAAAACTTCTACCATTTCTCCCGGCCTTCAGTATGTGATCTTCCAGGATGTTTCCTATGAAATTAAGCCTAGATTTTCCTGTGGTTTTTTTCTAAATTAAATGTTGAAGATAGGTAGATTATTAAAGCCTAACTATTATAGTCAAGACAGTTTTTGCACAGGCTCTGAAAGTCTGAAGATTTCGGATAGTCTCTTTGAACTCAGTACAGGGTGACTTGTTGTGCCTACATCCCATCAAAACTTCACTTAAGAGCCCAAGTCCATGAAACCAGTTGTCGGACCCTACTCCATTCAGTAGATGCCTAATCTGCAGGGGTCCTAAATTGTGTAGATGTGGAAGGTTTTGATGTTACGATCCCCTGCATGCTTGATGAACATGTGATGTGGGTGTCAGTTGATACCTTTGCTGAAGGAAGATTCTCCCACCTTTAGACTTAAATTCCAACCCCTGTGATGAAATGGATCTTTCTGAAAAACACCCCTTGTGGGGGGGTGGGGGGAGGGGGCAGGCACTAGTTTTGCAGTTGGTTTTGGTCAGTTCCCCAATTTTTTTCCACCCAGTGTTGCACAGATGCTTGTGTGGGCCTCCAGGAGAGGATGACACCAAGCTAAAATAAATACTTGTAGGCAGAAAAACAGAACGACATACTTTATTGGGATGCATTCTGGATGGTAGTTCAGCAAACACTGGAAGCTAAGTTCTGCCTGTGATGCATCTTTTGATGGTGCTCTGCACCATGGTGCTTAATTGTCTCCTACACTGATACCCCTAAACTAGATTTTTCTTTGCCTTTGTCAGTCAAGAGGCTGGACTTGACTGGTGTTTCGGAGTACAAATTGATCTCTCTCTAACTATGAAAGAGTATAAACCTCTTCCAGGAAACAGCTCAATGGTAAAAGCCTTCACCCAATGTACAAGAAATTAATTCGCTCTTTGGCCTGAGCGAGCTCAGGCCTTTGTCTTCTGTCTCTAAAATTGCCATGAACAGGGGACCAGAGGGCTTTTGAAGGAGATGGAGTTTTCCCACTCTTCACTAAATAATGGACTGTACCCTTGTAGCTGTCCTTTTTTCCTTTTTTTTTTTTTTGTTGTTTTTTTTTTTTTTCAGACAGCACCCGTATTAACTTGCATTCCCTTTTCTCCTTCCCAGGTGGCCTCTCTCGGAGTCACCACATTCACACTCTGCGCCCTCTGCATCGACCGATTTCGCGCCGCCACCAACGTGCAGATGTATTATGAGATGATTGAAAACTGCACCTCAACGACGGCCAAGCTGGCCGTCATCTGGGTGGGCGCGCTGCTGCTGGCCCTGCCGGAGGTTGTGCTGCGCCAGCTGGCCAAGGAGGACCCCGAATACAGCGGCAGCCCACCGGGGGAGCGCTGCGTGGTGAAGATATCCACCGCGCTCCCTGACACCATCTACGTGTTAGCTCTCACTTACGATGGGGCGAGACTCTGGTGGTACTTTGGCTGCTATTTTTGTTTGCCTACCCTGTTCACTATCACCTGCTCCCTGGTAACCGCGAGGAAGATCAGGAGGGCGGAAAAGGCTTGCACAAGAGGGAACAAGCGACAGATTCAGCTGGAAAGTCAGATGAACTGCACAGTGGTGGCTTTGACCATTTTATACGGGTTTTGCATCATTCCTGAAAATATTTGCAACATTGTGACTGCCTATATGTCCACAGGGGTCTCTCGGCAGACTATGGACCTCCTCCATCTCATTAGTCAGTTCCTTTTGTTCTTTAAGTCCTGTGTTACCCCAGTTCTCCTTTTCTGTCTCTGTAAACCTTTCAGCCGGGCCTTTATGGAGTGTTGCTGTTGCTGCTGTGATGAATGCATCCAGAAGTCTTCAACAGTGACAAGTGATGACAATGACAATGAGTACACCACAGAACTGGAGCTCTCCCCTTTCAGTACCATCCGTCGTGAAATGTCCACTTTTGCCTCTGTGGGGACTCACTGTTAATTGACTTTAGGACTTTATTTCCTATATCTTTTCTTCTTTTTTCTTTTTTTTTTTTTTTTTACTTCATGCTTTTCTTCTTGAAGCAAAATGCAAGAAAAGAATTATTATTGAAAACTACTCTGGAAACCAATCTTGCATATTAACAGTCGTGTTTTGGAAAATAATTTGTCTGGTTATTCAAATGAAAGAAAGAGAGAAAAGGAGAGCCAGCACTCAGTTTTAAATCATGGTATTTTGCATGGTGCTAGGATTTTATTGGTTGGGGAGGAGAATACATATCAATCCACTTTTATTTAATTCTATAGTATTTTCTTTTTGTAATCACTGTAAAATGATTCTGTAGACGTGGGTTTTGCAAGATGTTTCATGTCAAAGATGTGGTGGAAAGTATTTGAAGGTAGTTTTAATCCAATTACTATACGCTATTGTGAGAGGACTTGGACTTCAGAAAATTTATAAAGTAGCATTTAAATAAATGAGGTTATATTATTTAACTTCATTGTCAACCTGCATTTAACAAGGACACCTATAAGTAGTATTAAATTCTTTTAATGGGTGAAAAAAAATCTTTTCTCTGCATAAAATAATTTAAACGGCCATATTTAATTTACCATTTGTGTACTTACCCTTGGAGGCTATAATTACAGTGTTTAAGGAAGATGGTTATAATGGTATTAGATTTACATGAGTGGGTTTTTTAATGTATATTATGAAGGTTCAATGTGCCTCATTGAAAATTTCCTTCTTAACCTGCAGGTGTATAAAACCTGAGTTATTTTGTACTTCTTAAGAAGAAAGATTTGCTTTCTCACTAAGTTTTGTCTTGTGTGGTTTCAAAATCAAGTTTCTTTCCAATTTGTTGTTGGTTTTACGTTGAGATTGTGTCCTCAGTCTCTGTATATATAGCTCCTGCTGGCTTCAGTGAGAGTCCCATTGCAGAGAAAGGCATTCTTTTGCCAGAGGTTTGCTGACAATAAATGTGAGGGACTGAAACATGTGGAGAGTGAATTCCTTCTTTTTTAAAAGGTATAAACACACTTGGACGCTTGGGGCTTGACCCAGAGCCCATTGCAGTCAATGGAAAGATTTCCATCAATTTCAGAGGGCTTTGGATCAGACTGGCATCTCCTATTTATTCTGGGATATGTAGCATGAATATTAATCATGGGGGCTCTGTACACCGATTATAAATCACGCTGCTCTCACAAAGACTGCTATTCACTAGCAGCTCTCAGCTCCAAAGCTGTTTTTAAGCACCACGGTGTGTTTTGCTGATAGCTTCTTGCTGTCCGCAGAGTTATTAAACTGAGGGTATGTCAACACTGCCAGCAACAGTGCGATATAGTAAAATCTAAAGTTGTTATAAACAAGCCAGGTTGGGGACTGGAAAGTGCCTATCGGTACCAGCCGAGCTTATTTGTCCCGTTTCTTGGCTGAAGTAGGCAGACTGTTCTTGGCAGGCAAGCTGGCTCATATTTACACTGGGCAGCAGGCTGAAGTGTAGACACATGCTAAGGAACTGGGTTTGTTATAATTAGCTTGTATTTTAATACTAGTTAAATAAATAATACAATTGCAATAGTATGTGCAGAAGTAAAATCCCATGCATTTGTCCGTTGAAATTAACAGTGACTGTAACTTATGTAGTCTAACTTCCCGATACCTGGCTCTAAATATGTTAAAGAATTTGCTGTAACTTCTGGAAAGGAGTCTATTTTTTATTTGCAGATACAGGACTTAATATGTTCAATCTTTGTATCTGCTTGGGCGAGCAGTATTTCTTCTTTTTCTTTACCATTTTAACCTATAGCAATTTCAACTGAAAGCAGTTGGAATTAATTAATCTGAATATAAATCCAAATATATATGCACTTGAGTTCGTTTTCTGATTTTTGACAGTGGACCCCAGCAAAGCAATCTGCTTTAAGCACGGGCCTAAATTTAAACGTGTTTCTGTTTAGGACTTGCTAAAGTACAGAAGTTTTTTAAATCATTTTATAAGATGGTCAATCACTTCTGAAAGCTTCTTTATATAGAACTGTCCCTTCTTTGACAACACTCCATTGACTTCCCATTGCTTGATTACCTTCGATAAACTATGAAAGGTATTAAAGAGAAAAGATAAAACCAAAATCTCCTCACTGTGGTGCCTGTGTCTCCTCAAATACATATTCCCATTGCTACATTTTGATTTGTACTATTCTTTTTTAGGTGCCAATGTTTGTAAAGAACGGGAATAAACCTTCCCTTTTTGTTCCTTCATTGTGTGGCTTGCTGAATTGTTTCTCTCTGCTGCCTTTTCAGTCCCAGCATAAGCAGTGGCTCAAGGACCTGAGAAAGGAGCAACAGAATGGGAGGAAGCACTTTTTATTTTTAAAAGAAGGAAATACAGAAATTACTTGGGAATATTAAATGATGATATTTCACTGAGTGCAAAACTGCACTGGCACAGGAAAAGTCCCCAATTGCCTTGGATGTTGGGTGCTTCCAGCTTTCCAGTCTGCAGTGGGCAGGTGTAAGCTGTGCCAAGCAGTGCTGCTCGCGTTCCCAGGTTAAATGCTCCGTGTCCCAGAGTGGTGCAGTTTGCTTCTCTATTGAAACATTTCTGGAATATGCGTGTGCTAATCCTACTGGGGAAAAAAATATCAGTCAAAAAAAAAAAGAGATTTAAAAATTCATTGGAGAAGGTAGAATTTGAAGATCAATAGTGCTGTGTTTGGAAGTAACCCTCCTGCCCTGTGTGGTGGAACGTTCTCCAGCCTTGTATTCAGTGGGGCTTTTTTGTACCAAGTGTAACCTTGCCTTTTAGGCTGCTGAAAGAGCATTTTTCACAGTTGTTTCTCCCCCCTACCTTGGACCTCCATAGCAATTGGACATGCAAGACACCCTTTTATTGTAATTTGTTCTCTAAATTGGTTAAACTAATCCCACATTAGCAGGTTTGCACTGTCACAGCCATTCTGATGCAGGCGTGGCTTGTTAATGCATTTAAGTGTCATGATAAATGATTCCTTTTGTTAAAGATGGGGTGCTGCTTTGTTTTTCCTCCTGCTTTTGGGATTGATGCTTTGAACTCTTGAAATTTCCATGGTGTTTGCTTTTCTTACTTTCTTTAATATTCTTAGAAGCATTTCTGCCTGTTTTGAATCCAGTTCTCTAAGGCATTTATCTGTTAATAAGAGGGCATTTAATGGACTAATGAATGAAGATTTGGAAATGTGTATGGCAACTAGGCTGCAATCCCTCTGCCTCAGGAAGACTATAGTACGTACAGATGAGGTTGTGCGTCACCTTTATTCTGGAGGGGAGAAGCTATGAAGCAAACTGCCTGCAGGAAGCTGGCTCACCCCAACTCCATAAGAACCTAAACCTAATGATTTGCCCAGATAACAAAGGCAAACTGGGACCTTGAAGTAGATCTTCCATGTCTTAACTTCTTATGTCTTCATCCTGAGAATATCCTTCTTCTTCTGCAGGCTGGAAATACAGTAATTGACAAGTAAGGTCCATTTTCCTAATAGCATTGAGAAATGTGATTAGGAGGAGTTACAACATTCTCTGTGATGATGCCTGTTTTTCTTTTTTTTTTTTTTTCCTTTCCTTCTTTCCAACTGCCCTTTTTCCCTGAAAAGCTCAGCCAAAGTCAATGTGAGCAGATGATGTGAATCATTAAAACTTAATAGTGTCCTACACGCACTGTCTTATGCTTCAGAAACAGCATTTTTTCACTACTGTTCTGTATTTGATAGGGTCATTTAACACCTATGCTTAGCAGATGTCAAATTTTCAAAAGCTGGGTATGTTTTGTAGTGAATAAAACACAATGGAAAAGGCAGGGACTGAGACACTCCAGGACACCCAGACACCTCTGCTATAGAAACACTGACTCTGTTAAGGGCTGAAGGTTCATCCAAAAAATGGGAGGAGAGCTGTATTTCAACACGTACAGCATTTAACCCCTGAAATCCAGGCTACTTGCTTTCCCCGTGATAAAATTTGGTAGGTTCAGGTTTTGGTTTTCAGGCAGTAAATGTTAAAACAAAGACTCCCTGGCATTTTCAACGTGTCCATGACAGCACTGACAGCCAGTGCTGTGTCTCCTACTGATGACACATTCCCTAATGTCATGTCACTGGGAGTGCACACATCCATGTGCCTGGAGCTGTACCAGCCTCTTTCAAGGACGAGGTCGAAGATTTCTCTTCTCGTACACTGTAGCTTTAGTTTTGCATCCCAGCTTCTCGTTACTGAGAAGTAGAAGACATTATTATACTGACTAAAATGTTTGTGGGGTTTTTCTTCAACTAGAAATCTGGGCTATCAGAGTTACAGAACTCTCAGAGCATTTAATAAAAGTGCTAGTGGCAGCATCATTAATTAAGGTGGTAGATCATTTATAGCTAAAGGGAAAGCTTTTATTTTGCTTCCTGGCTTTTTATTTTTTATCCTTTATTTTTGTGTGATTACAAAGTAGGGTGTTGTTTGGTTTTGTTTTTTGTTTGTTTTTTTTTTTTCTGAAACTAAATACAAAAACCCTACAAGCACGCATTCTTTTTTCTAGTTAAAGAAAATCCAGCCTTAGCTTACATCAGACATCTTCGTTTATATCCACAGTCAATTTAGCCTATTGTTCTCTGAGAAAGGAAGCCAAAATACTCACATTAGAAACATGGTCATGACTAACTTGATCTTGAAGAGATTAGATTTGAATAAACTTTCAAGGCTGGGATGGTAATGTAAAGTGAGAACTATATTTTTTTCTATAATTATGGTCTTGCCAGCCTAATCTTTTTAAAGAGGTGGAAGATACATACAGTTCAACAATAGCTTGTGGTTGAATTTCATAACCGTCACAAGGGACTCCAGAATACATATAGTCTGGAATAAAATGATCTAATAGCAGCTGGATATGCATGTGATAATCCTTACCAAAGACAATGCAACTATTTAAGTGAAGAAATAGATTTTTGTCTGTTAGCTATTATACTAGAGAACTAAGTCCTTCCCTGAGATGTGCTTCCCATTTGATTTAACACATATATGTGTGCTAGAAGAAAAATCTGTTTAGTGTTTTTAGTGTTGTATAGGGAACATAAAAGCTTAAGAAAGAAGATATCCCATCTGTAACTGTAACAGGCAGCTATACTTCACATTTTTTCTTCTAAATTCTTTCCTTCCTCTATTTTGAAACAATTTCTGCTGGCTGTTCTTATCAGTCCTTTCAATGTCTTATTCCATTTACTAACTCTCCCCTGAGCAAAGGAAAATCCTCTTTTGTTTTTCTGATGCTCAATTCTTTCAAATTGAGCTTCTATAAGTAAGGCTCATTCATTTCTCACAATTTATCCACTGGAAAACTTGAAGGTGAACAGTTCTTCTCCCTGTGGAAAGTATTTACAAATAAGGAAGCTGCAGTCTTTCTTTCTCTCAGCTGGCACTGCTAGCAGAACTAAAAAGAAATCTCATCAATCTGTATGAGACCTGCGACCAGAGTATCAGCACTACAGTGTGAATTTCTGACTTAAAACTGTCTTACCTACATGCAAATCGTGAGGCTCTGCCAATAGGCAACAGCACTGTCCCCTTGCCAAAACGCAGGAGGCTCCGACATGAGATAATGCTGGCCCAAGCGTCTTTATTTCATATGGTGTTTCTGCACGGAGTCTCCAGTTTAATCTATAAAGGATCCCCTTGCAGACCGTTAGATGCCTTTGTGACCTAAGAGCAAACCATTTCTCATTCCAGGCTTCATTTAATAGATACCAGTTGTGAGTTTAGATTAAGGCTTGTATGGTTAAGCTGGGGTTTAACATTAGCTGTTGATCTATTTATGCTATAAGTCATGGCTACACATGGAGGGCACTGTTTGAAGCTGCATCTGGAAGTTGAAAGGGCAGAGATCTCTCATAGGCAATGCAGCACATCTGCATCCCACCTCCTGGTAGTTGATGACATTTTGGTGACAAGTTTGTCAAATGCTGGAGCTGGTTTTGAGAGGTCCGCATAGCACTGTGTTTA